GGATATAAATAACTTATTAGTTATTTTACTGTGTTTCATTTCTAATTTGCCTGATAACAAAGGCAGATTTAAAAGTTCTTAAAATATTAAAAATAATGCAATATATTAATAAGCAGAGAAAAATATAATACAATTATATAAAAGCGTATATTTCAGTATAATATGATCACTTAAAACAAAAGCCTATAAAAAACTATTAAAATTCCTTGAAGAAAAAGAATGGCTTAGTTCAGCATTGAGAAATTACCATTGAGGCCATCAGGCTTCCTTTGGGTAGCCATCTCATAAAGCCACATCTGAGAAAGCCCTTTCCTTTGAGGTCATATATCTATTTCTTTTTATAGTTATACATGAAAAACAAGCAGAAACAGAATCTGGTTCTTCCTTAGGATTGAGTGAACAAGACAGTTGACTGGTGTATCTGCCATCTGATGTACTGACAAGAAACTGGTATTTTGTTTCTTGTTTCTTCATTTTGGTATACTGAATTGTTATGACCTGACAAAACCGTTCAGTCAACAGTAGAAAAGTAGTACTTGAATATATTACTTTCACACATTTTCTTTATGGTCCTTACATTTCCAAGGCCCTCCAGAGTAGAATTTGAGATAGACAGTGTGTGTGTTGGAGGGGAGCTGCAGTCAGGAAGGGGTATAATCAATTCTGTTGTTAGAAAATTGACATCAGAATCTATCCAGTGTAATTGGTGTGTACCCTGATTTTTAAGCATTGTTGTTTGGCTGCCATTTCTATAATTAAATTTACAACTGGTAAGATAAATTTTGAGCATGAAACTGAGCAAACTGAGCAAACTCAGGGAGGCAGTGAAGGACAGGAAGGCCTGGCGCAATATGGTTCATGGGGTCACGAAGAATCGGACACGACTTAACGACTAAACAACAACAAAATAAATTTGTAATCTTAAATGTGTTTGAATATTTTAGAGGCAGGGATTGATTATTTTTATATTTTAGTTTGTGTTGTATTGTTTACATGGCAGTTACAAATCAGGATTATAACACTGGCTTTCTTCCATTTTATTATTTTTACTATCCACTAATACCTTTTACCAATGTTCTTGCTTATTTCTTATAAAGAGGTTTCTCATAAGCTTTGTCATTTTGGGGGCTCTAAATATCTTCTGTCAGCTGCAGTGATTTGCTGTAGCCACTAGAGAGTGACATATAACACTTATTATGATATGCTGCCTTAAACCTCTATTTTATGAAGTATTTCAGATCAGTCAAAAATTTTGTGTGTTCAGCAAACATACAGTAACTTCTGTAATTTTTTTAAGATAATGAAATGTTGCATAATATGTTTTTAGATATGCTAAGTTTTAACAATTTAACCATTGTTATTTTTTAGTGGAAAATGCATTTTAAATGGTTGTGTGTTATGTTATAAAAGTTTGATTTTTTTTTTTACAGAATGTTGTATATAATAAAAAGTACATTCTTTGAAAAATTAAATGTCTTCTGATGTCAGGGACTCCAAAATTTGAATGAAATGTTGAAAAATGTAGAGACGAGTAAACAAGTTTTTCTATTAGTACTTTTCAGTTGGCAGAATCTTGCTAGTGATATTATGCCATTTCTTTTTTTCTAGTGTGTGGAATGTCTGCCTTATTTCAAAGACTTCAGGATACCTTGGTGAACTGGAGTTTGGTTAGAAATATTTGTGGGAATACAAAACTAGAAATGCTGCCTCTATTTCCTGTTGAGATCTACATTAATGGGGGTGGGGGGTGGGGTTTGGCCCTTATTTTATAAAACAGAAAAGAGAAGGAAAAAACAACAACAAAAGTAAAGTGGAAGGGAAGCAATGCAAAAAAAAAAATTGTATGTGTAAGGGCTTCTCATACATGTATATATGTTTATAAAATTCTACACATTTTCAACAAAGGATAACCATATTTCATTATTACTTGCAACTTGTAATGAGTTGCTTATAGACATCATTTATAGAATATATTTGGATGATTATAGTGAAATATGGTTATATTTTGGAATGAGAACTAAGGGAGGTTCCTCAGTCCTTAGTTATAATAATTCTGTTGATGTATTTGATGTACTTTTTCACACAGATAGTAGCAAACCTGCTTTTCCCAACAAAGTATGCTTTTAGAAAACCATAGAGAATCCCAATTTCTAAGTACAGGAAATAGTTACTTGTAACCACATGGTGGTTGTGTCCATGTTCTGAAGGCTATGGATGTTGCATACACATAGGCTTTAGATTATGCTCAGATATTTTCATTGTTAAAGGGTATGCTGTTATTGGTGACATGAAGAACTATAATCATGATGTTCTGGGAAGCAAATTTAGTAACTAGTTGGGATATTTGAAAACAGTGGCATCCATAAGGTATGTGTATGTCAAAATCAGCAAGATGGTGAATGGAGCAAGCCCTGCCTCTTTTGTATGTGTTTTGACATTGCTTGCAGTTTCAAAAGAGGCAGGGCTTGCATTGCAACTCTCTGTCATCTTTTCAGTTTTGATTATCCCTTCCTCCTGCACACATCACTTTTTGAAAATCAGGTCTTCCAAGATTTCAAGATTGTTTTCTTGTGGATGGCCAGCACAAGATAGATGAAACAGAGAGGCTCTAACATGGATGAGATAATGGCATAAGGAGGAAGGATATTTAAATGTAATTATATAGGATTGCAGCTGTAGTGGTTTATAAACTTGGTATGTGCATTGGATTTGGTGAGATCCTATAATGACAGGCCAATTAGAATAAATTCACTAGAAAACGGAATTAAAGCAAGATTCCTCTGAGACAGACTAAATTTGCTAATGTTTTGGAGATTTAGAAATCTAGAAAATGTGTCTTCAATAGTGGGTAATTTTGGGAAATGTTACAGGGAAAATGCCGGCATGAGGAAAGTTGCAAGGGAAATGTTACAGTTTTAAGAATGTATAGGACTCAATCTAATCTCAGTGTTTGGGAAACAGGGTATTTCAGTAATTTATTATAGGACTCTTAGAGTTCACTAATTTTGGTGTTTTGTTTGTTTGTTTGTTTCAGAAGGAGGAAGTGGTTTGGTGGAGTCTTAGAAGAGGCTTGGTATAGTTTGTGGGATCTGGAAGGGTGTAGCATTGGGTGTTTGCTTAGAGAATTCTGGATGTTCAGGTCCTTCTGCTTCTACCATTGTTTGCTCATATCAGTCATCCAACTCTATCCTATTGCACTTTCTGTGACTTCAGTTCTAATTGAGAATTAAACCCAAAAAGCCTTAAATTATTTTTCATTCTTCACTTATTACCTTGAAATGTTGCTGGCTTCTTTCCAAATAGGACATTCCAGTATGTCAGTTTCATATGAATTGCCAATAGGTTAGGCAAAAAGAGTAGTTGATTCTGCTAAGTCAGCTGAGATTGGAGATGGGATTATTCTGTAGTAGTTCTGCTCCTACCTCAGTCAGTTCCAGGTGATGGCTTAAGGGCTTCTTTCCCCTCCAAATACATAGGCTAATTGCCCACCACTCTTGGGGGTGGGAGTGAGACTTTAAGGGGCATAATGGATGCCTTAAACTTGCAAAATCACATATTTTACCCTTAAAATTCCCATTTTCCCCATTCCCACATCAGCCTACATTAAGATGCTGCTCTGGCCCATTTTTTAAATATGTCCTATATACCAAAGAAAGGTTGGTATGGCTTTTGAGTCAATGAATGTTGCACATGACTGCTGTTGTATACCATACTAGGCTCCAACTCTGTTGTATGTTAGGAATAGCCAAACAATTCCAAACTAGTGGGAATTTTGAAAATATAGTACTGCGCAAAAGTTTTAGGCAGGTGTGAAAAAATGCTGTAACATAAGAATGCTTTCAAAAATATATATTGTAATTGTTTATGTTTATCAGTTTACAAAATGCA